AGGGTTTATTTGTCGAATATCCAGCTTTCTCCTATAACAGGAAGCTGCGTGCTGGGTGGGGCTCATACCGTGGAGCCCACTTTTTGGTCTTCATACCTACCTCTCAATGACTATGTGTTGAATCTGCATAAATCCGTGCCTCCGTTAACACAGGAACCAACTGGACTTTCTCCAAAACAGGAGTGCTGGGGTTTAGGAGCTGCCGGGTTCCACCTCAGGTCAACTCACTCAAAATCGCTGGGGCTGTGGCCCAGGAATCTGCATTCTTAGGGCTGAGACTCACTTGGGTCTGCCTGCACAGACGTTGTGTTGACGCCCAACCCAGCCCGCCCATGTATTTCTGCAACGTGTGTGCAGTGAGGGTGGGCACAGATGTCCATGTTCTCTAGTCTCTGTGGCTGACACTCATTAGGTTCATTGCAGGAGTTTCTGGACCTTTTCTAGCCCCCCGCCTGTGGGCACAGGCTTCGTCCTTGACCCCGAGTTCATCAGGGTAGGCTAGCTGCTGTACCAAGAGTCCCCAGATATGCAGAAGTCTATTTCTTGTTGGTGTGGCAGTCGGCTGGGGTGGAGAAGGCACCCTTTGCCCCCTGCGGTCATCGAGGGTCCGGGGTCCTCCCGCTATTCTGCTTCATCTTCTTCTGGGGCAGCTCTTCTCCACTGTGCTGCCCGAGAGAGAATTAGAGTCTCACGTTGAAGCCAGCCACGCACACGTAACGCATTAAGTTGTCTCCTACGCATCTGGGATGGTCTTAGCTATGGGCCATCCTTGGGCGCGTTGACAAAATAGCCACTCGAATCGTTTTTGGCGGAGTTTCATTTTCTGGTGGGACCCTAGTTGAAATAGGTTGGAAGGACCTTGCTTTTCTCCTGACTTGTGGGGACAGAGGGTTGGAAAAGGGTACCTTGGTTCTCACTGGGGGTGACATATCACATCTTCTCGATACTGTGGGTGAGAATGAGTCACACAGCCCCACTGAGATGCAAGGAGACCAGCACGGGAGTTAGGTGGATGTGAGCTCGAGTTGGAGAAGCAGACACGGGCGTTGGTGAGCAGTCCCTCTCTACCCCACGCCTATTCCTTCTGAAGTTGCATCTGCCTCGTGGAGGCAGAAAAAACCAGATGGGATGTTTTCAATGAAGCCGCGTTCCTTTGCACGAAGGTTTGTTTTTGCTAATTCATTTATGCTCTCTCTTTATGACAGACAATGGGTTGGCTTGAAATTGAGATTCCACTAGAGTGATGGGTGACCCATTGTCACCACCCTCTCCTGCATGCACAGACTTCACAGAGACCCCAACCCCCTTGGTACCCCTCACTTATGCTTCTTCAGTACGTCTGTCTCAGTCACGGCTCTTTTTTTTTTTTCAGTGTGTCTGTGTCCCATGAGTACCAAGGAAGATGCGTCTATTTATTATCCAGGCGGATAAGGTCCCTTATCCGCCATCATTGTATTTTCTGTTGGCCATTAGTTCATTCTCTTTTATCCTGCTTTAGGAAGAATTAGAGAAGAAAAAGATGCAACATCAATATGGCGTATATATCTCCCTTTGTTTAAAATCCTTGGTACAACTTTGGACCCATGATTAATATCAATATTTAAGGATTATGAATTTCCCTTTTTTCCCTCAATTTACCCTCTTCTGTTAGCATCCATCCTCAGAAGATTGAACCCAGATACTTTTACTCTCCTGAAAGACTTAGTAAAGTGCTTCCATAGGCGTTCGATACAAGCTAATTGAATCTCTCTCTGAAAAGTTGACTTTGGTACCTGGCGTAAGAACTTTTAGCCTCTCATCTTATGTGAGAAATGGTGGGTGGCTCAGAAAAAGCCAGGAGTGGGAAAGCTCCCCGTGTAGGCTTTGCAGAAATGCTATCTAGCATGACCTGTCCACCGGATCTTATTTTCCCCGGAAAAAGAGTTCTCTGTTGTTTTGGTTCAGACTGCCGTTCTCTGAAGCCCGCCACAGACTAACGGTGGAATGGTTGTGTTTCTAGCAGCCAGCGGATGAAGCAGAAGGTGGCCCATCTGAGGAAACCTTGGAACGGAGCCAGGAGCCCCCTGTGGAGGTCGCCAGGGACCCCAGTCCTCAGGATGCGTTGGAGGTGGTATCCTGCTGGATAATATCCGCCATCCCTGGGGCCGGCCACACACACGCACACCAGTTATCCCAATTTCCAGCTTAACTTTGTTGAAATGAGAGTCCGTCTGTCTCTCTTGGTGCCTCCAATCCATCTGTCTATCTGGGTTGCTTGGTCCACTCTCTTGCCAGTCCTTAATAACTATGCTCTTTCTCTCTGCACAAGCTGTTCCTCAAAAGTTAATTCACGTAAAGTGGAGGGGCTGTGCTGTGTCTTCCTGTAGAGTGAGCATGGAAACCAACACACAGTGATCTGTTGTCTGAAATGAAGCTGGGAAATCAAAGCTGGGAAATTTGGGGGTGAACGTTTTAACCCAAATGGAGCATGCAACGATTTCTTCTTTAAGAGGGGAATGAAAGATGCATTCCTCCTGTCTCTTCATCTTATGGATGTTCTCCTCTTGAACTTCATTCTCTCTGGGGATGCATTTAGTGAAAGTGATTGCTAATTTTTTTCCACCAATGGTCTAATAACATCTTTGGGTCTTTAAGTAGTAGCAAATAGATCTGGGTGTTAAGCCTGTGATGAAAGTTAATATTGAACATGTATCTTAGTCTGTTCTGGCTGCTATAACAAAAATACCATACGCTGGGTGGTTTATTAAAAATAGAAATTTATTTCTCCCCGTTCTGGAGGCTGGGAGATCTAGGCACTAAGATCTAAGATCAAGACAGCAGCAGATTTGGTGACTGGTGAGGACCCTCTACCTAATTCATAGATGGCATCTTCTCTGCGTGCTCACATGGTGGAAGGGATGGGAGCTCTCTGGGGTCTCTTTATAAGGACACTAATCTCATTCATGGGAGCTCCACCCTTATGACCCAATCACCTCCCAAAGGCCCCACCTCCTTATACCATCTCCTGGGGGTTAGGTTTCAACATATGAATTTGGAGGGGGACACAAATGTTCCATTTATGGCAGCACATATTTGGATTACAGCCTGCTAGATAGTAAATATTTCAATGTGCATGACACCTTTACCAGCATTTCCCCTCAGGGAGAATAGGAACACTGTTTCTTACTTCTACTTTGTCCTTCTACAAAATGCCAGATGCAGGATTTTGAATTTATTTCTAGAGCTGTTGGAGACAGGGCTTCTTCTGAAACTCCACTGCTGGCATATGGAATGGGGGCTTGCTCTTCTTCGTGGTCAGCCTCTGTATGATGATTTTGAGGCTCCACGAATTGGTTATTAGTGGGTGACGTGGTGTGGGATGGGTGTTGGGCAAGCTTTGACAGCTCAGCCGTGTGGTGGGCGAGTTCACGACCTTCTCTGAGCATCCGTGAGATGGAGACGGGGGTGCCCGCCTCACAGAGCTGGCGGGATTCCATCAGAGAGTGGTCTGGACAGAACCCTTGTTAGCGCCTGGCTCATAAACATGAGCTCCAGTCCCACCCCCAAGGATGCTCCCGGCGGATGGCACCAAGGATATCCCCGCCTCCTGGGGATGCACACGGCTGGGAGGGCGTCCCGGTCAGGTGGGTGCTGTGAACACCAGGACGCAGACTCTCAGTGGTTCATTCGCTCAACTGAGGCGCGTTGACTTGTGTGTCCACTGTACTGTGGACGACGCTTATTTAGTATTTTGTATAATACCCTGTTTCGTAAAATCGAGGGATTTTGTTGTTTTCTCAGACACTGACCTCCTTTCCTTATCACGGACGATGCTTGCACCATGCTGTTTTCTGCAGAGAGCTAGTTTAGGATGTGGTGCGATGGGTCCCCTTGATTCCAGAAAGTTTTTTTTCCCAGGAATTTACTGAGCCCAAATCCAAGAGATTCAATTTCCTTGACCAACAGGATGGCTATGATTGAATAATAAGTATGGGAATGAGTGTAGAAAGGAGAACCTTATATGTAAAAACTCTTCAAAACCAGCATGGCAAATAATCAGAGGAAAAAACCATATGCCCAGTGGCATGGAAGCTATAATTTAACTATCTGGCGTCCAGTATCTTTCTCCACATACATACATCTGGGGAATACCGGAGTCAAGCACTTTATAAGTAAGCATTATCAAGTTAACTTTATATATATATATATATACTTATATATATATATACATATATACGTATATATGTAATATATAATATTACATATACATACAGTATATAATATGTAATACAAATATGTATATATATACACATACATGTATACACACAACTTTATATATATATACACATACATACAAATATATATATGAATTCTTATCATATGCATATGTTTAAGTCTTTTCCTAATTCCTGGTAAGAAATTTGTAGAGCAAATGTCTTTATTATTGTTGTCGACCCACCTGAGTACCTACCAAATGTAAGATGTGTGTGTGTGTGTATGCACATGTGTGTATTTATATGTTCTCTCCAATGTATCCCTTAAGAATATAGAAACCCTGCCATAGCAAGAAGAAAACCATTTAACTTACTATTTAAATGGTCTTGCCAAGCAGTCCAGAATATCATAGGTTTTATTTACGTAAGGTGAAAATTCTCTTCGTTTCACCTAGTTTGGTTATATATGGCAATGCAATCATTGAGATTTTGGTGGGTGGAAGTAATCAACGTTGGTGTGTGTGTAAAATGGTTTAGTGGCTGGAAATTAAAATACTTCTTAGGAAAGAGTGAACACGTACAGTTATAATTTATAAAATTTCAAAAAACTTAGGCAAAAAAAGCATCTTCTTAGAAGAATATCATATTACATTCGGCATGTGTTTTGTATGTTTTAAAAGCAAAGTGCTGAAGATCAGCATCCTCTCTGAGAAACCGAGATTGCTAAACCAGACGGATGCGTTAGGCATCTGCCAGTCTTTGACGGACAGCTTCTAAAAGCATCTCCTGTTGGCTTCCCTTTCCTAGGTTGACCTGGCTGTCTCCATTTCCGAGATTTCTATTCAAGAAAAGGTCAAGGAGCTGAGTCCGGAGGAAGACAGGAGGAAATGGGAGGAGGGGCACGTCGATTACATGGGGAAGGACGCGTTCGCCCGCATCCAGGAGAAGCTGGACCGGTTTCTGCAGTAACCCAGGACGTTGGGTTGCGTTGTGAGTGGTCAGACAGTCTTCTGTTGCCTGGTCCTGTTCCGTGGACGTCTCTGGTCCTTTCAGAGGGAAAAGGTGTCCAACTATGTGCCTCTGTTTATGGTTGACCAACTCAAGTGCCTCACAAAAATAATGTAGACCATAAAAAACCCAGCTTGAAGCCCACGGCTGATCCAAGCTACCTGTGCCTTCTTGGCTTCCTCAGCTGAGAGGTCCATTGTTCTTTTCACACTGTCAGCTAAAGGGAGCAGGAATAGACTTCTGGTAGACCCTTGATAACGGCCTCGTCTTGCTCGAAGGGACTCGGAAATGCCACCTTGGACAGGTTCACTGTGTCCTTCCTACGTAGAGTTAGACGCTACCGCACGTCTTCTTCCATGGCCAAGCTAATAACACAAGAATGTGTATTCGGTACCTTGGGAACCCTCCAGAGTGCCAAGTCCTTTCCTTGAGGACGAAGCAGACATCCAGACATCTCGAGGGTGACTCATTTAGACTTGGAGAAGCGTGTCTGAGAAATGGCACGGCCGTTGTTTCTCTTCTGCCAAACTCAACGGGACCTCAGAGTGCTGTTGACAGATGCCCAATTTGGGAAACGCCAGAGGTGTTTGGAAGAAAGACTCGAGCTGGCTTGGTTTACCTCCGTGATACTTGATTGCTCTTGGCTGGGCCTCACTACCTCAGTTCTCAATAATGTATCTCGTTGCTGTGCTCTCCAAGCCATCTCGACTCAGCTCTTTTCGGAGACTTCTCAGTTTTATGAGACTCAGAAGTTCCCAGTTTGCTCCACGGGAAAGCCTCATCTTCAGAAGTCTCGTAATTTTGTGAATTGATGCACTGTGCTGAGGGGTCACTCTTTATGGCCACCACGGTTAAAAACGGGGTTCGCCGTAGTAAAGAGAGGGAAGTGCGGTATTTTCCAGGTTTGAATGGTTGGTTTCTCTTGCACGGACGGTCGGGAAGCAAAGGGTTAATTGAACGCACGTTTGGAAGACGGTGAGAGGGCTGTGTTAAAATTCAGAGGATGCATTTGGCCACATTTTACGTCACGTGGAGCCGGTTAGCCTTTTGGGATCTCTGGGTGGACCTGGGGCAGCCGTTGTGGTGTTTGCTTGTGCAAGGTGTGAGTTGTGGAGGGGTTGTTTCTCTTGGCGTCTGGGTGGTTAATGATCCAAAGTCTTGCTTGGCATCACACATATGGTGCTTCCGGGGCTCATTGATAATAGCCATATGGACACAGCCTTGGGGGGGTGGGGGGCATCATCAACCATCAGGGAAAAATCATGAAAATCGTTCCAGGAAAAGAACGTCGGTGCTCTGTGCTGTGTTGTCTGCCTATGGAAAACAGAAGCCACAGTCTGACCAACTGGAGAGGGAATATTCCAGATGGAGAATGCGTGAGTCTGCTTCAGCTTCTCTGCAGGCGAGAATTCGAGTTTACGCTCACTGGTTCGTTGGCTTCTGTTGTGGATCCTAGTGACAGTTGTCACATTTGCACGCATGCTAACGCGTTTCTGTTAACATTTTACAATGGAAAGGTGGTCTGCCTCCTGGTGTGGGTTTGCACGTGTTCTGAGCGATCAGAATAATATTTTATACGTAACAGAGGGAAGGGATGCGGCTGGCTTTGTCCTGCGGTCAATTTAAATGACCAAATCGGTTTTTCAGGATTGATAGTCCCAGTAAGATGTGTAGAAATGCTACGTCTCGCCCTCTGGAGTCTCATAAGGTCTTTCCAGGGAAGCTGCCCATCTTCCCAGCATTGGCTTCTCAATTTCACTCATTCATTCGTCCATTCATGCATCCACCACATGGTCATTGAGGTCTCTATATGGCGGGCACTGTGACATGTGCTGAATCGATATATGAGAAGTTCAGGAACTTGTTGATGACTTCTGAATAACATCCGTATAAGGGGTATAATCCTTTGTTATTTCCTGAAGAAGCCAATGCCACAATCTGTGCTGTGTAATATTAGGACTACAGAGTTATGTAAGCTGAGCCCCCGAGAGATGTGATCTGATGCCTACTATCACTAATTGTTTGGTACATAGAAAAGAGGTTTTTTTCTAGGTTTTTCTGTTCTAGAAATGTTATTGAATTATTATTTGGGGGCAGGAGGTAATGGCATGGGGAGGAAAAACGTTTCTGGAGATATTGACTTGGCCAGGTGGGTGAAGGTGTGTAGATTTAGAGAAACAGAGTATAGTATTTTTGTTCCTCAGAGTTGTTTGGTCACATCATGCTGGAGCCATGGTCGGGGACTTGAATGGATGCCAACAGTCCTCGTGCTGATGATGAGTTTCGGTGTGGAACTGCACACAAGCTGAAGCAGAATGGGGTTTCTTTTTTTTTTGTCTTTAAATATTTTTTTAAATTATTTTATTGAGGTCACATTGGCTTACAACATTGTGTAATTTCAGGTGTACATTTTTAACAGTTTCTGTGTAGACTGCATTGTGTTTATCACCAATAGTCTAGTTTTTATCTGTCACCATACATGTGTGCCCTTTACCCCGTTTGCCCACCCCCCCCACCCCCATCCCCTATGGTAACCACTTGTCTGTTCTCTTTGTCCATGTGTTAGTTTATCTTCCTCATCTGAGTGAAATCATATGGTGTTTGTCTTTCTCTGTCTGGCTTATTTCGCTTAAGGTAATACCCTCAAGGGCCGTCCATGTTATCAGAAAGAGCAAAATTTTGTCTTTTTCACGGCTGAGTAGTATTCCATTGTGTGTATATACCACATCTTCTTTATCCAATCATCAGTTGATGGGCACTTGGGTTGCTTCCATGTCTTGGCTATTGTGAATGATGCTGCAGTGAACATAGAGGTGCATAAGTCTCTTTGAATTGTCGATTTCATGTTCTTTGCATAAATACCCAGTAGTGGAATAGCTAGGTATTTCTATTTTTAATTTTTTGAGAAATCTCCATACTGTTTTTCATAGTGGCTGCACCAGTTTGCATTCCAGATTGGAGTTTCTTTCTGTCAACCACTCCTGAATTAGGAAAAGCAGACCCGTGACCCTTTCTGATTTCATAGATCTCTGCTCTTTAGAGTATAATGCTGTTTGTACGGATCAGAACACTGGCTTAGGTTTCAAACTGGAAGTCTTACATCCCAGCTCTTTCCATCACCCTGAGAAGCAAAATTGGAGTATTCTTTCTTGGCACAAACACCTGTTGAAACACTGTGGTGTAGCTCCGATTACACCTCGTATATGGAATTCTGTATCAGACTTTGCAGATAAAACACATTTTCTTTTAAGTTTAGGAGCACAAAAGGTACTAGTGATATTTTAAAGACAGCACCAGTTGTTAACCAAGATTATGAGCAGAAGGAATCAGCAATTTATAATAATTATAAATGTTTATAAACTTTATAAATTCTCAATTTATAATATTCCCTCTCAATTTATAAAATTTATAAGTTAAATATTATATTTAATGTAATAATAGAATCCTCCAGAAAAAAATGGATGATTAAGAGACTATCAGGTTATGAGTCAGCTAGGTTACACACCTGTCATGTAGCTGGGTACCTTGAAGAGACATTTAGCATTGAGACCTTGAGAATGTGGCATTTAACAAATTTAACTTCTGTAAGAAGAGAACCTGTGAAAGTATTTGAGGATCTCCCACATTTTAAGGTTGCACCGTAGTTAGCTTCCCCAGAGAAGTGAAGAATCATCGAATCAGCAGGAGATTATGTCCCCGGCTGGATTTGTACCCTCATCTCTTTTTGGAATCCTGTCTTCATCGCTGCCTCCTGGCCGGATTAAGTCTGAGTCTCGGTTACTTGGCCTCGGCTCAAGAAGAACACAGACGCTGAATTGTTGTTCTGCACTCTGCTTAGTAATTTTGCATTCAAGTGGGTTTCTTCCATTGAAGTGGGTCGGTTGAGAATGAAGAAACACAGGCCAGCCAGAATTTATAGCAGAGTCTGCAGAGCGTCTGGGAAGACCCAATCTTGGTGGGTGCGTTTTTTTTGGAAGCTGACTGTTGGCGGCTGGCAGAGCAGCCGGTCTGGGCACTGTGCCCTTAAGGAGACCACGGAGAGCATCAGAGAAGACGGGTGTCTGCCGTTTAGGGATTCTCCAGGAGCCTTTGTGAGTTTGGCCATGGGGTAGCGTCCCCGTATTGCAGGTTGTCCCTGAGAAACGGCCCCCCATCAGCACCACACTTGAGTTGGGCCAGGTTTCCATCATTTCCATCCATTCTGATGACCGTCACCTTTAACCCCAAGTTGACATCCATTCAGGGTCTCTCCTTGGGTGAAGAATATTCTGCTCCCTTTCTGGAGGCATCCCCATCTTCCTGATGTCTGACACTTTTTCTTGGAGAGGCTGACCATTGATATGGAAGTCGTGGAATAGTTGATATTTGCAATGCTGTGATAAAACATTTGCGGTCATGTCCCCCAATGAAACGTGTCTTCTGTCTCAGTGTGGGATCTTTATGCTAGCAGCCAACTCACCTGGATTGCTTGTGCAAAATGACGAAGGTGGGGTGAGCGTGTGGGGAGGGTCAGAAATAAGGGCAAAATTGGAGAGCTGGCATGGTCAAGACGCAAGACCAAGAACCCCCCGTGGGACCAGGCGGTGGTTTTCTCAGAGAGATGCTGCCACCAGCCCAGTCTGGAGCCAGGAAGCACACAGGATGAGCCTCCCTGGTCCTCCTTGGCTGCCCTTGGCTGTGGAGGGCAGGACATCTGGATTTACCGTCCCATCTTGTGCCCTGAGGGGAAGAGGGGACGCAAAGCAGTGTTGGGTGCTGGTAGCCAAAGATGGCGGAGAGATTGTTGAGCAAAAGGAAGAAGAAGTCAGGTTCCTCCTTCATTGTTGTTCATCCAGAGCAGGACGTTGCGTTTCTCATACACTAATGGCTAACTTGGCGTAACGCCCCGAGATACTGAATTGCGCAAGATCCGCAAGTGCTGTGGGAATGGAAGGGGCGGTAATCTCTAAAGCATTTAGAGCAGCGTCTGGACACGTCAAAGACTTAAGAAATGGTGGCCTCTGTCATCATGATTTTTACCCTGAGGCCACTTCCAGGCTCGGCGAGAAAGGTTGAAATTAATTACCGATGTGTGGCTGGGACGAGCATGGGGATGGGGTCGGCCATGCCTGTGCCATTTGTTATTGGTGAATTTGGAGACCCATCCTCAGAGCCACGTCCTTGAAAGCTCGTGCCGTCCAACCGGCTGCTTTAGAACCTGTGGAAATAAACC